CATGGCTTGAGTATATAAGCTTTCAGGCAATTCTATTTTTGAAATAATTTTGGAATAGTTGAATCAAAGCTCATTTTATAATCTTTCTCACATCATCTTATTTTATTTTCAAGCATCTTTATAGATTATCAACAACAAGACATTTCCAATCAAGACTTTAGGTACCCATATGAGCAATTAAGAGTCTTAGGCATATCGAGTTTTTCTCACACAATTTGGCATACTAGCTTTCATTTGAAACACGACTCAAAGCCATAACATTTTAATACGCAATCAACACTTTGAACATATATATTTCGACATAAGGCTCATTCGGAATAGTCATGTTTATAAGGGATAACCCGGAACATAGGAATTAGGAACTTGAGCCAACAATACTTGAAACTTACAGGAACATTATGGAATTCGATCCTAATAGAGTAGTTTAGCCAACATACCTGCCTTTGAGCTTTCCTTAAATACTACAACGTTCCGGAAATCCTAACAACTTCAATCTATTTTGAGACATAACAAAATTGAATACAAATTAGGAAGATATTCATGGTTTCAGCTCATTTGAGCATTTTATCAAACACTAGGTGTGTAGATTTGACTACAAGGTTATTCTACAAGATTTGCTTCATTCCACAACCCAATCTTTACTTATTTGAGCTCAACAATTTTCCCACAAACTTTATTGGTGCATGCATATATAAATAATACTCTTACACCCAAGAATCATACTCCCAATCACCAATCTTTTACCCCAAACTCGAAATGGAAGATTAGGGTTTGAACCTTACCTCTTGAGTGAAGATCTTGTGAGATTTCCTCGTTGGGTTTCAAAGTTTAGACAAGATCTTGATGAACAAAGCATTTAAGATTCTTTCTCTCTCTAGAACACTCTCACTTCTCTCTAAAAATATCAGATTTTTGCCTTCAAAACAGCCCCAAAGGCTATTTATCAAAATGAGGTCGGGTTATAAAAATAGAAAAATGGACCTTCCGAACTCAGGCCTGCGGTCACAGAACTGACCGCAGAACTGGTATGCGGTTCGCAAAATGGACCGCAAAATTGATGCCCAAAATTTGGCTGCACTGGACCGGTCTGCGACCATTCTGCGGTCTGCAGACCACTTTTGCAGTTCACAGAATGATTCTGCGGTCGCAGAATTAACCGCCGAATCACATTTTGCCAGCCTTTGGGAATTTGTTCATAACTTCTTGTACGAGTGTCCAACGTTTGATGCATTGGAAACTAGACTCAAAGAGCTTTAATTTGATAGGTAGATCACCTCCTAAGTCGTTATAGTTTGGTAGCAGCATGCGTTTGAAGTATGATCTTGTGCGAATTGAGACATCCTTTCCACTTAATGTATCCAACTTATTCCACACAAATTCTTGCCATTCACAAAACTCCTTTGTATGTTCCAACACACCTTAATCATATATTTTCATTTTAAAATAATGTGGTTCTATCCCATGGGTCTACTTTAATACTCAAACACATTATTCCCAAATACCGTTGGCGAACTTTAAAATCTTAAATCATTAGAAAATTTTTAACGGGGCCTTACAGGTTCTGCTGTCGCGAAACTGACCGCAGAATCGATTTCTTATACCAAAAATTTCCATCAACTCCTCAGTGCATTCTTCAATCCAAAACGTCCGTACCGCGACGAGCAAGCTCTCCGTGAAGATTAACTACTACATTCGTACACATCACCCTACCTCAGCACCACAAAACCTTTAATTCCTTGGCAATATTTTACGGGGCCTTACACTACCCATGAATTATTACACCTAAATTAAGGATTTAAAGAGTATAAAATGTGGTTTTAACTTGAAACTTAAGAAAGTATATTTTGGAGTTTTAAAAATCGATTTAAACTCGATTTTACCTATATGGATTCTGGAGGTTATGGTTAGCGGGAATTTACTCTCGTTTTGAAGTTCTACCATGTAGGCTAGGGTTGACTTTTTGTTGACTTTTGAGATTTTATTAAAGAGCAAAGCGTTATCACTTGGAATTAATTTTTTATAGATTTATTTGACTTTATTGAGTACTATTTGGGCTAGATCAGATTCGTTTGATGGATTTGGAGTTAGAGAAGGCGGATATGGAGAATAGAGTTAGCACATGATATGGTAAGTATCTTGGTTAACCTTTTGATTTGAGGGAATTATTTCAAAAGAAAGGACTTATGTGCTACATGCTACATGTTAGGGGTGATGTATGTACGAGGTGACGAGAGTATATGCAAATACCGAGGTTATTCCATGCTTTGGATAGATTTTAGGCTGTTTATGCCTTGTTTGGTCTATGCTTCACGTTATATGCTTGGCTTGATTTACTAGTGCCATGACACTATGCACATCCTCACATGGTAGTATTATGTATAGACATCTCTCTTTTGCTAGTGTAATATGATAGGATATTATATGTCATGACTAGTCATTGTATGATAACTTGAGAATCTTATTCATGATAGAATAAAGTTATAGGCATCATTCACATGATAGTTTAATTTTATGGGTTTTATGAACTTATGTTACATGGTATAATTGTGTAGTCATACAATGAATTCTTGTATGCACCATGATAGCATATAGATCTAGTTCTCATTATTCATCTGAGACTGCTTGGGCATGTGGATTCACATTCCTATGTTGATGCATTGTTTTGAGCTTGTAGATTCACGTTCCTGCTTTTGGACATTTGTTGGGCGTGTGGATTCACATTCGTGTATTGAGATATTGTTCAAGCGTATATATCTATTATTTTGTTGCATGGATATGGATCCATCCCTCTAGAGTGTGTACGCAAGGTTGGGTAGTGTGTACGCAAGGTTGTAGACACATGGATTTGTGTCGGTTTTGGTACCAAGTTAGAGGCTTTATCATGCACATACATGCATATACATACATACATACATACATACATACATACATATATATATACATACATATATATATATATATATATATATATATATATATATATATATGTATGTATATATATATGTATGTATGTATATATTATAGACTCATGTAGAAACATTATGATATATCATATATATTATGCATATTTATGCATTTTATACATGCATGAGACTTGATAACAAGTTGTTGGATACTTGGAGGGTATCAGATTGATGTAAAGTTTGAGTCTTTATTACTTGTTGCATATCTCCTTTATATGCGGATTTGGTACATTTGTATAAGCTTTTGATCTTGTTATCTGAAAAAGTATGCTTATTATCCTCCTCTTTGATTGTGCACCTTATCATAGATATCTACTGTTTCTTGGCTTTTTTTTGTTATTTTATATGCTTATGAACTGCACATGTTATAAAAGGTTAGTATATTTTGAATAAAATTTTTGGCACTATTTCATTGAGGTTAATCTTGAGGCTTACTGAGTATATGTGTTGATTGTACTCATACTAAACTTTTACACATTGTGTGCAGATTTCAGAGCTGAGATGTTGTGGAGTTTGAGAGCGAGCATTAAAGACACATCAACATTCCAGTTGTTATATGCCATTTGTTCATGGTAGCCTATGATATTCTATTTCTGTTTATATATATTCAAATATATTATGTAATTTTTTCATATCAACGTTGTATTCCTATTCTTAGTTGCTTATGACTTGTGAGACAAATTCCTGGATAGTTATTGAAATGCTGCATTTTTAATTCTTATTTATATGATTATATTTGTTGTGGGTTACATTTATGTTGGTTGGTTTGCCTAGCGAGTTAGGTTATGTTCCATCATGACCTGATGGGATTTGCATCATGGCAATCCAACTCTAATAAGCTTCCAAACTAGAGCCGTACCCTCCGGAATGATTTCCGCAATTTTTTTCGTAGACTTCCCACATTGTGTATTCAGTTTGCTCGTGTCCTAGATATTAATCTAAGGGACCTTTAAGAATCCATCCATACAATTATCCTTCGACGAGGCAGTACCAGGCATCTCTTATCCTAAGTTGCTGAGATGCTTTCTTATTTGCAAGTAATTCATCAATTCATTATTCTAATTTCAAGCTAAATTGGCTGAGTTCACCTCATTTTTGCGTTGGTCGAGGATAGAATGGAACAAGTGGACTACTGTGTTGTTTCTGTGATATCTGTTGCCATTCCAAGGTTTGCTAAGGCATAAATTTCAGCATTTTGTTCTTGAGGTATCTGAATAACCTTCCACTCCCAGAATTGACTTAAGAGAATTTTGACTTTTTCTAAGTTTTGTTGCATTCGTCTTTCTCATGCCAAGTACATTTTTTGGATTTGATTAACCATAAGTTGAGAATCGCTTTTTATCTCGATGTGTTCTACACCAAGTCCTCTAGCTAACTCATCCCTGCAACCACAACCTTATACTTGACTTCATTGCTAGTGATAAAGTGGCATTTTATGGATTGTCTAACCACTTTCCCAGATGGCATAGTGAGCACTATTCCGAGTTCAGATCCTTTATGATTCATTTGTATAGAGAATCTAGGTTCTAGGATTTGTTTTGGAAGTAATAATACTTCCTTCTCAAACACAGGAAGTACACCCGTACTAAAGTCAGCCATGAAGTCTACTAAGACTTGTGACTTGGTGGCTATACGAGGTTGATAAATTATGTCCTATTCACGAAACTCAACCACCCACTTAATAAGTCACCCTGAGAGCTCCTATTTATGAAGGATTCTCTATAACGGGAAAGTTGTGTCTAAAGAAATAGGATGACATCGAAAATATGGCTTGAGTTTTTGGGCGGCCAATATTAATACAGAGCTAATTTTTCTAACCGTGTATACCTAGTATATGTGTATAATAATATCTTACTATTATAATAGATGGGAGATTGTGTACCTTTTAATTCTCGGACTAAGGCTGCACTTATCGAGAGCTCCGGTACTGCAAGGTATACTAGCAACCAATCTCCTTCTCAAGGTTTTAATAGTAACGATGGATTAGAAAAGTGTTTCTTCAAATCTTTTATTGTTTGCTGGCATTCCAATGTCCACTCAAAATACTTTTACTTCTTTAATACTGAGAATAATTTTTAACTTCTTTCCGATGATCTTGATATAAACCTCCCTAAAGCTGCTATCTGACTCGTCAATCTTTGCACTTCCTTTTTGCAAGTCAAAATGTCTGGGTCTCTTTGATTGCTTTGATTTGAGCCGTGTTAACTTCAACAACCCTGTTGAAAACACGAAAAAACTCATAACTTACAAGATGCAACTCCGAACGCATATTTTTTCGCGTTTAGCTTCATGTTATATTTTAGAAAGTCACAAAGTTTTCCCTTAAATAGTCCAAGTGATCCACGACCTGAATCAATGTGTAACGACTCGACCGGTCATTTTGAGTTTTAGCATTCCGTTCGAAGATTTGAGACCTTGAATAGATTCATATGATGCATTGTGACTTGCATGTATGGTTGATTTTTATTTTTGAGAGGTTTGGGGTTCATTTGAAAGAGTAATTCTCAACTCATAAGCTTTAAGTTGGAAGAGTTAATCAAGATTGACTTTTGAGTAAATGACCTCGGAATTGGGATTTGATGGTTTCAATAGGTTTGTATGGTGATATTGGACTTGAGCATATATTTTGATTTGAATTTATATGTACATAGAAGGTTTTGGCTTAATTTGTCGAAAGTTGATAAGTTGAAGAATTGGAGAGTTCTTAAGTTGGACCAGGAGTTGAGTTTGGTGTTATCGGGCTTTCATTGGTGTTATGAGACTTCGAAAAAGTTTATTGGGTTGATTGGAACTTGTGTGCAAAGTTTGGTTATGGTCCGGAATATCTAAGTGTGATTCAGGCGAGTTCGACGAAGTTTGAATATTTAAAAGTTAAGAGTATGATTTGATCTTCAATTCTTGGTTTTGATATTATTTGTGGTGTTTCGAGACTGTGGATGAGCTTGAATAATATATTTGGACTTGTTGGTATGATTGGACAGGGTCCCGAGAGGCTCGGATGTGATCTGGGGTAGTTTCAGATAATTTTGGTGAAGTTAGGAGCTGCTGGTGTCAGTGGTTCATCGCGATCGCATAAAGTAATTGAGGTAGAGGGGTTGTTGTTCATCATGTTTGCGAAATGGAGTTCGTGTTCGCGTAGAGTCTTTGCCAAGAGAATCGCGTTCGCAAGAGGGTGTACATGTGCGTGGCGTAGTGGAGTTTGGCTAGAGTTTGTTGCTTCGCATTTGCGATCATTATGCCGCGTTCACGTAGAGTTGGCAGGTTTCATTTGGGCATTGCGATCATGTGGGACCTGCCGCGATCGTGAATAAGTACTACTGGGTAGAGTATATAAGTTGCCATTTTCGGGATTTGACCCATTCTTTCTAATTTTGAGCCCTAGACTTTGAGAGGAATAGAGTTTGAAGAGCAATTTCACTACTACATTGGAGGTAAAGAATTTTCACTTGGTTTTGGTTTTATAAATTGATTCTCCATGGATTTATACACCTAAAACTTAGAATTTTAAAGTGAAATTTGGAATTTTTGTCTATAACTTAAGAGGGTGTATTTTGGGGATTTGAGGGTTGATTTCGAATCAGTTTTGGAATTTAATCACATATTTGTTCTCGTGGGATTATGGGTAGTCGGGATCTACATCTTGATTATGTCACGGCCCAAAAATCCGACTAGTCGTGATGGCACCTAACCCACCCCGCTAGGTAAGCCAATTAACCACTAACCAATTCCAATAATAATTTATAAAGCAATTAAGTAATGAAAAGTCTTAATCTTATACATTCCCCAATAACTAGTAGTACAAATCATGAGTTTTTAAGAATAGAGTTTACAAAGCTGATATGAAGTAAATACACCTTATATTTTTTTTGAGAAAATCCACTAGGCTAGGTGCCTAGGGCTAGTTTTTATATACATCTAAAAAAGAAAAAAAAATACAAAAGTCATGAAGTTTAAATAATGTAAGAACTTAAGCATTGAAATTACATAGCTCCTATTATCACAGTTGAGTAATGATCTCAACCGTGATATTACAGATTGAGCTATGAATAAACTACTATTAAAACTTATCCGTAATAAAAAATCGATAATCATCCCAGCCATGTATGTGTATCGTCTAGCACACTTGAAGTCCATGGATGTTATTCGCGCTTTGCACAAATGGCCAGTTGCTTTTTGCATCAACGTACATGACCTTGAAAGTACATAGTTGCTCAGTTTTTCTTGTTGCTGTATTGAAATATATTCCAAAGTTGCTGCTGCATTTGCTTTGTATCTGCTGACAAAACATTTCCTCACGATAGACCTACGTCGGTCCGAGCTTAGCAATAGTGTGACTTGAAACACTTCCCAGCACCATGCACGTACACTGTTTTTACACTCATTCTTGTACGACATCCTTTTGAATTTTGTTGATGTCTCTGCATGAAATCCATCTTGAGTTATCCTATTATCATGTCGCTATGAGATATAAACCCAGTTTGGATCTAACGAAACCAAAAAATGTTGCCAAAACTGCCTTGTCGATTGTCTTGTCCAAACTTGTTCCGCTATGCTGTTTTTATGTCTAATTCCATGTGCATTCCGTGTGTATTTTGTTGTTATGCTTGCATGGATTAATTTCTGGTATGTTGGTCTAAAGACATGTATTGAGGTTTTGTAGCTCAATTCATCCATTTTTCCAGAAATGTTCTCCAATTCCGCCTCTTGACTGATATTCCATATATGAAAGCTGGGCATGGCTATTGCCCCTTCCTATCATTGCTGCTATGCTTGTGCTCATCCATGAATCCCCTTCAATGGACTGAGTATAATGTACTAATACTACCAATTGAAGATCCATCATTAAATAAGTCATAGCCACAGTAATGTCCCCTGCATATGACTGCATTTCTGGGCAGCAGTGTACTTCTCCTTGCTTCTATGCTTTTGCCTAACTTTAACTTCCTTCTAGTGGAATGAGTGCTTAGCACTAATACTACCATCTGAAATTCCATCAAAGTATAGGACATAGACACAGTAACATCACATGCAAAAAAGAACACAGTGTTAGTGAAAAAACTCATTACCATGCTCTCCTTCATTTGGACTTGAACATGGTAATGCAATGAGTAGTCTCCAGTTCTCCCCTCTTCCACTCTTCCTCCTTCACCTTCTAGTTCCTTGCAACTTTTACATGTGGATATGGGCATTGTATCTTGTCTTCATTTACAATCCTTCCGCCTTGAGAGACTAGCTGCCAGAAATCATAGCACTCAATATTGCCAATATCAAGAGCATAATTTGCCAAATGATCTGCCAATTTATTCTCCTCTCTGAATATGTGTGACACCCTTATATTAAACTCCTCCATCAAATTCCTAATCTCCTCCACATGTTCAATAATACCCCAAGGTGGTTTCCAGCTTCCCTCTATTATGTTCTTCAGTAGCAATGAATCAGTTTGAAGCCAAATCTGAGAATAATTCTGTGTTTTACACAGCTTCAAAGCTTCCACAATTGCTACTGCCTCTGCTTCGGTGTTTGAACCTTCAGCAATCTCCATTCCTAAAGTGTACCTCAGATCACCAACCTCATCCCTCACACAAAAGCCAATCGAGCTTCTCCCTGGGTTCCGTCTAGATGCTCCATCAATGTTAACCTTGATCCACCCCTCCATTGGAAACTCCCATAAAACTTTATCAACTTTCAGTCTTGGAGTATAATTTTCCAACATGGACAACAGTTCTTGCCATCTGTGAGGCACTCGAAGGCTTGGCTTTCTTACTTGAACTAAGGCTTGAAGAGTTGTTGAGACTTGGTATATGACCCTGCTGACTGATACAATCTCCCTATACTTTAGACTGTTTCTTCTTTTCTACAACTCCCATACAATACACGATGGTAAGGCTTGCATTATTGGTTTAATTCTTAGCATCACTTGGGCAATCCAACATTTAGTAATTACTTGGTGCAAAGTCAGTCCATCCACAGCTATTCCTGCTCTCCCTAGAAAGTATTTCCACACTATAGTTGCAGCCTTTGATGTGAAAAACAAGTGCACCAAAGTTTTCTCCTTAGGATCAGCACAACACCAACACCTCGATGGCATGAAGTACCCCAATCTTCTCATGAAGTCGCCAAGAGATAGTTTGGCTCTCCAAACCTTCCACATAAAGAATGCTATTTTAAATGGAAGTTACTTCACCCAAATTATCTTATAAGCTATCCTAGGATCATCCCTCCTTCGTAGATAATCCCAGGCAGATTTTACACTGAAATGCCCTTTGGTTTCCAGCATCCAATAAGGAGTATCTAGGACATTTTCCTGAACTAGAGGTGTGATGTTTTCGACTATATGCAGTGCCAGTTCTTCTGGCAAAATCTCCAATAGCCTATCAACATTCCAAGCACTATTTTCCAGCACCTCAAATACATTATGTATGCTCTCATCAACACCAAAATCTGGAGGAACTAGGAAATACAAAGCTCCCAGCCCAGTCCAATTATCAAACCAAAATAAAGATGAACCCATTTTTGTTTTCCATGTGATTTGATGCTCGATGATATCCCTGCAATCCAATATTTTTCTCCACACGTGTGATCCTTCCCTCCAAGGAACAACTACTGTATTTAGTTTTTTGCAGTACTTCTGACTCACAAAAGAGCTCCACAAACTAGGCTTTGTTATGAAGTTCCACCATAACTTGCAGAAAAGGCCCTTAGACATGTCGTGCAATGATCTAAAACCAATCCCCCCTCTTCACATGGCATACACAAGGTGTTCCATGATGCCTAGTGCTTGCTATTACCTCCCACAGAACTGCTCCAAAAGAATTTGGCAAACATTTTGTGCAGCTTATTAATCACATAGTTTGGAGGATTGACAACAGACAACAAGTGGATTGGCATACTTTGGAGAACATTAGCAATCAACACAGCCCTGCCTCCTATAGAGAGTTGTTTACCTTTCAAAGCTTGCGACTTTTTGAGTACTTTAGTGATCAATCCTTGATAATAGTCCAATTTCCTTCGAGCATAAAAGATGGAGCATCCTAGGTATGTAAATGGAAAATCCTGCCTTCCAATACCAGTGATCCTCTCAACTATTCTAACCACCTCCAAATCCGACAAGTGATCCATATAGATGGCAGATTTTCCTTTGTTCATAAGCTGCCCGATACAATCTCATATGCATGTAATATTTCTATTACCAACCTTAATGAAGTAGCACCAGAAGATGAAAAAATGATTGTGTCGTCTACATAAGCTAGGTGATTTATTTTTGGACTCCATTTAGAAAGACCAAAACCACAAAAGTACAAGTTCAAATGCAGGGCATTCAAACCTCTTGATAAGGTTTCATCAACTAATATAAACAATGTAGGTGATAGTGGATCTCCTTGTTTAACACCCCTCGAAGATTTGAAAAAACCAGATGGTTTTCCATTTACGAGCACTGAATACCAATTATTTCCCACAATATCATATACCATCCCAATGAATCTTTCTGAAAATCCCAACTTCCATAGCATTTTAGTCAAAAACAACCATGAAAACCTATCTTATGCCTTTGTCATATCTAGTTTAATGACAACATTAGGACCTGCCTTCGTTCTAAGCCTTATATCAGTGATGATCTCCCGTGTTAATAGCACATTCTCTATTATACTTCTCCCCTTCACAAAACCAGCTTGCTCTTCTGAGATCAAATTAGGCATTAGCCCCACCAACCTCTCATGAATCACTCTCGAGAAGATCTTGTTAATGAAGTTACTAAGGCTTATAGGCCTCATATCAGAAAATGTATTGACCTCTTTCTTCTTTGGAAATAATACCAGATTTGTGTGTGTCACATATTTAGGCAACTGCTGACCACTGAAAAGTGCCACAACCATTGCATATATATCCTCTCCAATTATCTCCCATCATGAGTGATAGAAAGCACCTGTAGAACTATCTGGACCTCCTGCAGAATCGCCATTCAATCCAAACACTGCTTGCTTTACTTCTTTTCTTGTAGGCATACTGATAAGTTTTTCATTTTGTTCCATAACAGCCAAGCATGGTACATGATCAATAATACCAAATTCAGCAGGAACTACACTCTCATAGAATTGATCTTTGAAAAAAATGACTACTTCTTCTGCTATGTGTTCTTCCTCTTCAATCCAATTTCCAAGACTGTTTTTAATTCTTTTGATCTTCAGTCTTTTCCTTCGACCATTGACTTGAACATGGAAGAATTTTGTGTTCCTATCCCCATCCTTGAACCAAGCCATGCCAGATTTTTTTTTACAAAACTCCTCCTCAATTGCAAGGTATTTAATCATTTCTGCCTGAACTTTTTGCAATCTTTCTCTATTCATCTGTGTAGGATATTCTTCAAACTGCTTTTCATGAACTAAAACAACTTCATTCAATCTTGCAATTCTCTAAAATATATCTCCATATATTGCTCTACTCCAAGTAGACAAAGCTTTCTTCACCTTTTTTAGCTTGTAATTGAACAAAATAAAAGGATTGGCGTAGAAATCTGCATTCCAGTTTTCCTTTACCACTTCTTTGAATGATTCGTGCTTAGTCCAAAAGTTCAGAAATCGAAAGGACTTCTTAATAGGAGGAGCTTCAATATCATATTTCAATAACATAGGACTATGATCAGATCCTATCTTTGAAAGATGAGTAACCTCCAAGCCTGGGAAAGTTTGTTGAAGTTTCAAATTGCCCAGACATCGATCGAGCCTTTTGAAAATACAGTCCTCCACTGCCCTGCCATTCTACCAGGTAAATATACTCCCTTTGAAGCCCAAATCTGATAAGTTGCAGGTGTTAATGCAGTGTCTAAAATCGTCTACTTCATTAAGAGATACTGAAAGCCCACCAAATTTCTCTTCTTCATCCCATATCACATTAAAATCACCTCCCACAAGCCATGGGACAGCCATATCACTGGACATTGCATATAAAGAATTCCACAATTCTATCCTCTCAACATCATCACATTTGGCATACACTAATGTGAGTATGAGTTCAACATGAGTTTCAGTGTGGAAAACCTTCAAAGTCAGTTGTTGCACCATGTTATACATTATTGTAACCTCATATACTTCATCAATGAAGGCCCATATTTTGTTTGATACATTCACCATTGCCTGTGCCAACCCTATTCTTCTTCTATATTTCTCCACTTTACTAGACTGTTGCATAGGTTCCATGATCCCAATGAATTCAAAATGGTGTTGTCTGTGCATTGTGATGAGTCTCTTAAATGCTTGCATTGTGTTTACTGATCTGACATTCCATATGATTGCATCCATTACTGATTTTGGGATTTAGTCAGTGTTCTTCTCGTTTGAACTCCTCCTGTTGGGGAAGTAGAACTCTCCTTAATTTGCTTTTTTCTTCCCTTGGCAGCTGACTTAACTTTTTCAATATGCCTAGGAGAAAGATCACCCTGCTTTGCTATGTTCAAAAAATTATGGGCAATTGATTCTTCATCCATAACTTTGCCTACATGATCTGCATTAAATTCTATTTCTTTAGCACCTTCAACAGCTACAATGTTGGTATTCTTTTGGATGGTAATCACAGTCTGCTCTCCATTATTCTGTTTGGTTTGCAATTGTGGGATCTTCAATCGAACAGTGATTCCAGTTGCCTCCCGAACTGGAGTTTTGGACAACTGTTTTTTTTTCATGTCTTTGCACTATCCTTTAATTTAGAATTAGCAGCAATATCAATGGTATTATCAATTCCTGTCCCTCCTGGGTCATCAAAATTAATGTCTGCACCTATACCTCTCTCTGCCTCTGCCATCTTCCCACCAATGTAGGTATGATCCACGCTATTGTTTATAGTGGGATCAACCTCCTTGGTGGTTTGAAGCTGCTCTTCAGTCCTTGCTACATTGGCATTGCCATTAGCACTTTGATCCTCCTCATCAATTGCATTACCTCCTTTTTCCTCTTCACTTTGTATATTATCAGGAATTTCATCCTCGTCTGAGTCCTCTTCTATTTGATCCGCCCAAATATATGTTCCATTGTTCTTTGTTTTCCGCCCAGTTCTCCTTTTCAATGTTCTTTGTTTTCCTTGCTTTGCCAGTCTCAAGAGACTTAAGATTGGTAATAATTGTTGCAGTTTTTTTGGTTCCAGTTTCCTTAGAATTAGGAGTTCCAATTTGCCTAGAATTTTCCTACACCAAGACTAACTTATTGTTCTCATTAGAATCACTATTGTCAAACTCCAAGAGAGCAAATTTGTTGGCTGTTTGGACCTGTTTAGGCACCATACTAGGCAGTTTTTCAACTGGCACAATTTCCTGCCCAATTTTAGCCATAACACCAGCCTGCTTCTCTTTGCTTTGCACTCGATCCCTTACTTCTTTCCATCGAGCACCAACATTACCAACCACCTTACAACTGGAAAGAATCATCAAATGAGCAACATCTTTGCCTTTTTCTTTATTGCCTTCCATCACAGCATCAGTAGCAACCTGTTGCCCAGTAGACTTATTTTCCATCAACTCTGGATGAAGCCTCCAACACTCCATTATGTCATGGCCTTGCAATTTACATTCTTTACACTACTTGGGCAAGTAGTCGTATTTAATAGTCACCCATTCAGTCCTCACGACTCCACTAGCTTCATTCTCGATGTCCATACGCACCTTCTTAGGTAACTCGGCTAGAAGGTCAACAAGAACTTTCACACGTGCACAACTGGGCCTCTTTTTATTAATAGTAGCCATGTCGAGGTGAAGTGGCTTACCAACAACTGAAGCTAATGAAAATAGACACTCCTCGACGAAAAAAGTTGGCAACAAATTTGGAAACGAGATCCAGGCCATTACCTTTGGTGTTTCCTCCCCGGCCTTGAATTTTACATCATAAATCAACGTCCTTAATTGATATTCATAACCCACCTTGTCTTTCACATAATACACACTCGTCGACGTAAAATTAATAAAATCTTGCCACAACGTCAATCGAATTAATACGTGCCTATCGCGAAGATATCTAATATTACACTTGCCTTTAATTCCACATTGAAGAGGGACAATTCGACGTAGTTCATTAAGCTCAGGCCATCCATATGAGAATTTACAAACTACTGCATATTGCAATCCTTCAATCGCATTCATTCACTCAACCTCTACTTCAGTAAACTTAATAACAGGCTGTCCATTAAGCAAACTAGCTCGACGAAGTGCAATTGGTTCAACAGAATTGGCTCGTTCCTGTAGGGCACTATTCAGTGTTGAAGGTTTCAGGATTTTCGAGAAATCTAAAGGTTGTGGATTAGATTCTGTGGTCATATTTGTTGGGGCGATGGAGGGAGAAAGCTAACCAGCCGGAAAAGATGGCTGGCCGCCGACCATTGTGGCCATTGAAGTTTAAAATTCCAACTTTTCTGTGATGAACAATAGCGAATCACTGTTTCATTGGAGCTCAAATCGCAAATTTATGCGATGAACAGTGAAGCGTATGCTACTGTTCATGACGGCTGAATCCTTTTTGCTAGAGCTTCTCTCTTCTCTCTCCAATTACACCTTCTGTTTGAAAAGTACATAAACAGAGTTATTTTTTTATAAATCTAAGGATACCATGATCAAGAGGCAACTACAATAGGAATGCAAGTACATCTTCAAATCCAGCAACCATCGAGCACAGCAACAACAACAGCCAACATCTGCATGCAAAGTGCAGAAGTGTAGTATCAGTACAACCAACCCATGTACTAAGTAAGTAACAAACCTAACCTTAGGTTGAAAGTAGTGACGAGCTAGAAAAAAGGTCGGGTCCCAACTTCAATAACGAACAATAGTTCATAACAACATAAAACAAGTAATACCAGAAGTAACTCAACAATCAAATGTTCAACAAAAACATGATTTCTGAAAATAGTTCCGCCTTTCGAGTATTCTAATGAAAACCCAAATCGTTTACCAGAGTTACCAAAAATATGAATAAGTTTGAAAACAATAATTTTTCCAAAATTCTTTCCATAATAAATAAGATGTTTCATTTTCTTTCCATATAACCAGTGTAAAACAAATGCATCACTATGCCCATCTGTCAACATGTGTGAGAAATCATGAATGATGTGATACCGTACAACATGAAGAAAATACATCTCTATGCCTGTATGTCATGTGTGCATGTCAATGCAATGCATCTCAGAGATGAACTCATGTACTCACACTCTCAGAGTACTCAATATCACTGTCTCGCATTCTCTCTCACTATGCTCAAGGCTCAGCACACTCAATCATTCAGTGCTGTATAATACCCGTTGCGGTGTGCAGCCCGATCCACATATATATATATAGTCGACTGCGCTCACTGAGGGTGTGCAGACTCCGTAGGGGCTCCTTCAGCCCAAGCGTTATATTGCTGCGGTGTTCAGCCCGATCCAATATTGTTACGGTGTGCAACCCGATCCAATATTATTGTGGCGTGGAACCCGATCCAATAATATATATATGTATATATAGCCCGAAGGCTTGTTGCGGCGTGCAACCCGATCCATATAAAATATAATCAATATTATATTCTGCGGCGTGCAGCCCGATCCCAAAATGTCACTCTCACTCAGGCCCTCGGCCTCACTCAGTCATCAATCTCTCCAGTCTCTCTCACGGGCTCACAATGCCATGAAACTAGCTCGACAACAATGATATGATGTATCAACAAAAAACAACTACTGAGACTGAGATATGATATGAATGTATGAATATGACTGAGTACAATATATCAATGAAATCAGTAAGATGATAGCAAGAAACGACCACTATGGGTCCTAACAATATTAGCATAAAGCCTAAACATGATATTTAGCATGATTGACAACTTAACTACTTTATTACATGGTAATAACACAGATATCAACAAAA